GTTGGCTCTGGTGCAATTACCAGTCGTGTATGACTGTTTGGAATAACTCCTGGAAGTTGCACCATTTGTCGTAACCACCATCGTAGTAGGGAATTGTTTTCGCAGGTATGGTCGGATTTGCTCGACCGGCAGTGGTTGTAGGAGCTGCTTCGATGTTGCTTCGGATGCGGTTCTTCACCTGCAGATACTCACGAAATAGTTCGTTGTGGGTTGCTGCGTCAAACGGTAGATTCGTGTGCCGTGGCAGCGATTCGGCGTAAAACTTCTTCGTACTTTGTTCGGAGTTTATCATAGAAGGCGTCTCTAGGATAGGTATGTGTTGATATCTTGTGGGCGAGACACCGCTCATGGTTAATCTGGATTTGGTTCCATACCTTCTCTAGTTCAACTTGGGCTAATTTCACTTTGTTTCTTGTTACGTTGGATTTTGATATTTCGGCTAAAATCTTTCCTAACTCTTGACCTCGTATTTCTTGCTCCAGGGCGAGGCTGTTCAGTTGCTCCATCGCCGCGGTTGTTGCCATTGTGTTTTTTTTTCTTTCACAGGTTCCTCTCGTGCGGAGGTGGTAAGGTGCCCGTTTCGGTTCAGCGTAGTCTTGCTCGTGCGGCGGAATTGAAGATCTCTCGGACGGAGATGGTTGGCTCTTGGGCGAAGTGATGAAGGTTTTGTCGTTGGTTGTCTCTCGTGCGGAGGCAGTAGATCCTTGGGTGGGTTGTAAGGCCACCGAGGTTGATTTAGCAGAGTACAGGTTAGAAGCTCTTGGTGAGGAGTGTCAAGGATATGTAGCTGGCTAGCGAACTGCACGGTACAGGTTATGACACTAGTTTATTTCCAAAATCTCCCATATATATATATCGTTACATTATTTGCATTTACAGACATTAAGACCCCGCATGTCTTACGCTAACATAATGATTAGGTCGCTATCATCTATTTTTTCCGTCATTATGATTACGCCGCGGTCGCCCTATGTTATCAAACTATTTATTAAGACATTACAATTAATATACTATCACCTATTTACTAAGACATTGACGTCATCATGATTAGGCCGTGGACGTCTCGATAGTTCATTGCCCTGTTCAATGTTCTTGACTTGAACAGACACTTAATTCAAAAACATAGTTCAAACCAATTTGCATTCGCTCCTATTTTACCCTAATACGTCATGTACAAATATAATATATAATTATGTTATAAGATTTAATTACTAATTTGCCCCGTTGATGTAATATATCTATGAATCAACATATTGGGTCTCCGACTCTAGATCGTATAGCTTCTACCTCTATTGGTAGAATTTCCTTGGTTATTCTCAGTAATGTCTAGAAGAACATCAACCGAACGTTGGCTTCCTTTGGTTTGGGTTGTGGGATCGGTGTGTGTAGTGTGTTAGTGGTTATAAGTACGAGTAATACATGAGGTTTGATATCACGACTTACGGTTTATTCAACGATGTGAGGACTACCAAGTCTGGTCAAGAAGTTCAGTCAGAAGTATAGTTAAAACGTGTTAAATAAGTAGACGGTTTAAGAAGTGGTGTTCTTACGAAGTGTGTTGAAGAAGTGATCTTCCTACACCCTTGTCACTCACCAGCAACCCTTCAGGTTGATGGGTGGTGACAAGAAATTCGGAAGTAGGAAGGAAGCGATAGTTTCAATTGGTTAAAAATATAGAAAGTGTATGACACATTAAAGAGACGGAAAACTGACCATTGGATTCTGAGAATCCGAGTCGGACTGTTCTCACGCTAGATACTGCGTGCCAAACCGTCCGACACGGGGATTAGGTTTTTTAAGGGTAGTTTATGACAGCAATGAAGGTTGGAAAATAAAAAGGCTGTAAACTAATAGAAAAGTAGTAAAATAAGATCTTAGGAATTCTTGGGAAAATGGCATGCAATGCAGAAGAAGAATTCAATAGCACAGATGGTGAGATGGTAGTCCCCACAGGGTTTATATGGTCAATTGATCGTTTCGTAGCCTCTTAACCATGGGTTTCACAGTAGTCAAGTTTGCTTGAACTGTTTGTGTCTTCACTCGATCGTCTTCATCATTTGTCGGCAATGGAATCAAGTTGGTAATTACTCGTTTTAGTGTTGAATTATTCTTCGTCTTTAACGTTACCACATGTATCTGTTTATCATCTCCTGGATGCACCTCAATGACGCGGGCAAGTGGCCAATTTGCAGGATTAATCACTTTGTCTTTGAATAAGACAATCGTACCAATTCTCAAATTTTCTTCTGGAGTAGTCCACTTATATCTATGCTGTAGTATAGACCATATTTCGCCTGACCATATTTTCCAGAAATCCTTTTTCATTTTGTTTATGTATCTCCATCTTTCAGAAGAACTGGCATTGATATTTGTTTCAATCGGGTTGGGTGGTTCCGCAATTGGTTGCCCAATTTGAAAATGGCCAGGCGTTAACACCTCGATGTCGTCTGGATCATTTCCAATTGGGGTCAGCGGTCTTGAATTTAAACAGCTTTCAATCTTGCACATTAACGTTGTCATTTCTTCATATGTGCAAGAACTATTTCCCAACTGTCTTTTCATATGATGTTTCATGGATTTGTTTAAACTTTCCTCGTCACGCAATAAATCGACGAAATGCGGCCAAAAATGTATTCGTTGTCATGTCACTGACAACTTCAATGTGTATAGCCTTTGTAGCTAAACATACATATATGGCTATATCGCCCTTACAGGTTTTGTGTCTTCGTCCTTTAGTGGTCCTGATGTCGATTGGGCCTGCGTAGTCCACCATGCAGTGCGCGAATGGTCGAGCGGGAGTTTCTCGTTGCTTTGGAAGTTGGCCCTTGTAGTGCACAGTTTAATACATGCTCGAATGCTTTTTTTAGCATTAATTATCTAATACTTTCGTCTTATGTAGGCAAGAGTTAGTTCAACTCCACCATGTTGTGTGGTCCAGTGAACTTCTTTAAAGATAAGTTTGTTCAGATGATGTCCTGCCGGCAGTAGCACTGCATGTTTGGTTATACTGGGCAAGCCGGATTTTTCCAATCTTCTCCCAACACGAACAATTTGTTTGTTATCCAGGAATGGATTTAATGATAGAACGTTGCTCGTATTCGGCACTGACTGTCCATTGGTAATCATTTTAATTTCTGTGCTGAATACCTGTTGTTGCACTTGTCGTACTACTCCGCATAATGTATCTTCTAATTCACGAATAGTTAACTGGACATTTCTGGTCTCGTCAGTTTTCTTGAATCTTCTTCAATACGATAGAACTCGTAACATTCTTGTAAGCGATGAAAACTTGTTAATATTGTCAAGCAAGTTTGTTTAATTGCAACATGAACCATTTTTCTTTAAATGCTTGTTGCATTATAATGAGGCAGTAGTGGCCATTCGTTATTATCCCCTGTGAGCCATGTGCGTCCATTCCACCACAAATTGTTGTTTACGATTTTCTCTGGGCTGATGCCTCTGGAGATTAAATCTGCTGGGTTTTCTTTCGTTGGTACGTATCTCTAGCACTGTTTTGGTACGTTACGTTGAATTTCTGCAACTCGATTACCAACAAACGTTTTCCCTTGATGAGATTCTCCTTTTATCCATGATAGGGTGATCATAGAATCTGTCCAGGCGTGGATCAATGTAGATTCTTCTAGTCTCAGCGAGTCTATTATTTGTTTCAATAATTTTGCTAACAGCGTTGCAGCACACAGTTCCAATTTCGGCAGTGTTACCTTCGTCTTGATCGGCGTAACTTTGGACCTGTAATATCGTGGTGTTGATTCTGCGCTCGTCTCGCGTTACGCAACATACGAGTACGTACAACGGCTCCATAAGCTCGGAGGCGTCACAAAACCCTTGTAGCTGGATGCTGCCGTTGAAATGTGTCAAGCGTTTAAGGTGAATATTTGAAATAGCTGGTAATTTGGATTGTAAGTGCAGCAATTCTGCTTCCTGCTTCTTTGGAACAGGTTTATCCCATCATTGGTCATCAATCTACAGCTGCTGAATGATCAATTTGGCATTGATTATAATTGGCGCCAACCACCCCAATGGATCAAAAATTTTGGATGCTTCTGATAAAATGGTTTGCTTTGTTTCAAGGTCTGCGGTGAAATTTTGTGCATTCTCCAGCGTAATAGGAGGGTATAAGAGGGTAATGGGGGTCACTTAAGGGAGAACTCAAATAAAATTTCAATTATAAACTAAATATATATTACAACCGCATTTATACATTATATACTTAAATAACTACAGTTTGATATAATTTTCAGTTACTTTAATAATAAATTGTGGATTTTACAACAATTAAAAAAAACAGACTCCCATTGCACCGACATGCGGGTAATGGTGGTCACACTGGGGGCAATCGGAGTCATACGATATCTAGCAGATATCGCAGACATATCCTTCAGCTGAGTCCCACCCAGTGCATTCCGCATGAGCCCACGACCCACATGAGGTGCACCTGAACCACATTTAATTTTTTCTGCCAAAACCGTTGCACACTAGACACTTTTCTTCTGCGTCCTCATCGTCCTGCAGTAAGCGGCGCTTTGCCCCTTTCGTCTGTATTAACTTGCCCTGACCTTTACCTTTCCATCCCTCTGTTTGTTTCATTTTCTTATTTTCATTTTCTATCAATGTTTCTTTTATTGGGGTGGATGTCAAAATTGTAGCGTGTTGCTTCCTTCGGCCCTTTCTTGTATTTTCCGCAGATGTTTTCTCTGGCAACTTAATGAAATCATGCATATGAACTTTACTTGATGAGCCAGATACTGGGGATAATTCAGATGTGCTACGATTCATTGCATGAGATTCATTGCAGCCTTGTATTACAGTAGAGTCCGTTTATAATGACATCGAAGGGATTTGACAAACACGTCATAATAAGCGGACGTCATATAAACCGTTTTGTGAAATAAAAACCTTTTTTTACGTAAATATGTACCTAAGTACTTTAATATATAAACATAGTATAAACATAGTAATTACAAATGTATACATACATATTAAATTAAAAATGCCTCTGCTTTTAATGCCTCTTCTGCGGTTGGTAATGGTGCTTCTTCGACTTCCTCTTTCCCATCGCTTTCGAGTTGTTCCTTAGCATTAATATTCTGTATGATATTTTCATCGGTGGGTTCTTCGAATGTGAGGAGAGCGCTATCAATGTCTACATAATCTTCCCACATTTCCGGTGCTGCTATAGAATCTGAATTTAGATTTTGTGACCACAAAGACAAAGGAATGTCATCTTCTTCATCAAATTCATGTTCTAAACAGTCGTGGCTTTCAATAAATCCTGCATGTTTAAAACAGTTACGAATGATACTTTGTGACATTTTATTCCAGACATTATTAATCATAAGAATTGCATCTAGCACCGTTATTTTTGTAGAAGAGTTGATTTCATTAGCATCATGACATTTAATCATTTTGAGCACCAGGTTCTTCCGAAAATTTGTTTTGAGTGATCGTATTATTCCCTGATCCATTGGCCGTAGTACTGATGTTGTATTCGGCGGAAGGAAAACAAGTGTTATAGACTTTAAATCAGTAACATTTGGATGCGTCGGGTAATTATCAACCAACGATAGAATATTTTTTTTTCTTCTTTACCAAATCACGATCCCAATTACGAAGCCACTTTTCAAAAAGATCTGACGTCATCCAAGCTTTACGATTGTTAGCATAATCGACAGGTAATTGTTTGACACTACTAAAACATCTTGGTTTTTGTGACTTTCCAATAATGAGCAATTTCTTCTTCTTTGTGCCACTCATATTCGCTGCTACCAAGACAGTAACTCTATCTTTTGACATCTTACCTCCACTACAACTTTTACCTTTAAATTTTAGAGTTTTATCCGGCATTAATTTGTAAAAAAGTCCAGTTTCATCTGCGTTAAATATCTCATCATCAGAAAATTGTTTTCGTAAATTCGACCACACAGATCTCAGTTTGTTGTAGAATCTTGATCAACAGACGAAGATTCACCGACAATTTTTCCCGCCACAATGTTATGTCGAACTTTAAAACGACTGAACCAGCTTGCAGAAAAATTGAAGTCGAGAATACCAAAACCGGCGGCAATACAATTTGCCTTTTCCTGTAGCATAGGGCCGCTGATAGGTATTCCTTTGTTTCTCATGTTTTTAACCACTGAATTAATGCTTGATCAACATTTTCTTGTCGTGATTTTCGAAGCCTCTTCGGTTTTAAAACATTTGAATTGCACGATTGCTTAATCCGGTTCTTGTTTTTAAAAATCATTGAGATTGTCGAATGACCCACCCCAAATTCCTTTGCAAGACGTGAGTTAGATTCTCCATTTTCTAATCTGCTTATTATTGCACCTTTCTCCTCAATTGTAAATGCTTTACGTTGTTGAGTTGAAATTTTTTTCACAGTAACAAACCCAAGAAACACAAGACACAAATAATAAATTCACCTCGGGCAGCGTGACGAGTTGTGAGAAGATAAGTAGGAACTGTCCTTAGATTTCAAAGTTGTGGTATTTAAGGTAAGAAAATCGGTCATGTTACATGGTTTGCTAGGACAGGATTGGTTAAGATTTAATTGGTTTATGAGGGTGAAAAACAGACCAGAAGGTTAGTTTGGAAAATACGGATTTTTCCATTAATTTACGGATTAAGTCGTGGTCAAGGTACTGTTGCCCGAATGCTTAAATTTATTATTTAAGCATTTGGTCTTTCCGATAGTAAATACATAAAAGTAATTTGACAATCATAAAAGAAATGTAGCAATAAATATAAAAAATTCGCCACGTGGCTAACGTCGTCGGGAATCAACGAACATTACCGGAGGTGAAAAGAATCATGTCGGTCATTATAACCGGACATAATTTATTAAAAATGGGTCATAATAAGCGACATGTCACTGTACGGAGGTCATTATATCCAACTTTTTTATATAGAATTTTATATGAAAACCAAGCTTCGTAGTATAATAACGTCATAATAACCGGTTGGTCAATATAGGCGGAGTCATAATAAACGGATTCTACTGAATATATGTCTCGGATTGAAGAACTTCTGCCGCCATGAAGTCATCTTCAGTGAATACTTCCGGATTTAGTGGAACAATTCCAGAAGCTCTAAATCCGGATTCTCCTTTGCTAATGGACGCAACATTAATAAAGGCTTTTCTCGCCAAGGATGCAACATCATAGGGCATTATCTTCTCCGCGAGATGGCTTTTCAAAAATGAGTCACATTCTTTTTTGTAGGCCATTTTAAGGGGCCCAAAGAATGAAACGTCCAAAGGTTGCATCCTATGAGATGTATGTGGCGGCATAGACAACATGTGAATATGATTTACCTTCCAATATTCGTAGATCGTGAGAGAAATATGGCTAGCATGGTTATCTAGTATCTGCAGAATAGGTTCAAGGGCAGATGGCTTCGCATGTTGTTTAAAATGGACCAACCATTCAAGGAAAAGATTTTCGTTGATCCAGCCGTTGTCAGAGCATTTGTATAACGCTCCGGCTGGACCATCCTTCTGTAGCAGAGGAGTTAATCTTTTCCTTGGGAAAGTGAACATCGGTGGAATGTATCTACCTGCCGCACTCATTGCACACAACAAAGTGATATTCTTTCCTCGCTCCCAACTGGTCATTTATCCCACTTTCTTCTGCCCTTTGGTAGCCACAATTTTTCCAGGAGCTTGAACTGTGGATATTCCTGTCTCGTCACAATTATAAATGATCCTCGGGGCAAATTTATACTTTTCCATTGGCTGACCAAGTAGCTCAAAAAACATGCTTATTTCATTTTTGTTAAAAGCAGTGATTCGATTGATGCTGGGCGCTTCCGGTTTTCTAATCGAAAGGTTATGCCTAGACATAAATGCATTTAACCAATCTCGTCCAGCCATTGTAGAGGACTTATTGAAATTGTGCTTTAAATTTAATTTTTCAGTATATTCAAATGCCACATTTCTTATTTGGTTGGCGGTGCAACCATAAAAAATATTTGCCATTTTCTTCACTAAGTTTGCAAGCTCGGCTTCTATCTCAGCACTAAAGACAGTGCATCGTCCTAGACGTGGTCCAGATGTAAAACCACTTTTTATCCTCTTTTGAAGGCTTGAAAATGGGATCCCCATTACCTTAGCGGCATTTCTTATAGAAGAACCATCATTCACAAGCTTCATAGCCTTTTCTAGGCTATCAGAAGACCAGGAAGCCTTTTCAGTTGTTCTGACTCGTATCTTCGGCATTTCAAGGAATAACTATGCACTGCACTGTAAACTGAACTCACTGCGTTGAACTGTGTCTTGGAACTTTTTATGATGAACTGGATGAACTGTTTTGTCTCTGAGTAATGGTAGGAGTTTGGAGGAGTATAGTGGAGCAGGGGAAGGTTGGCGAAGTCGTACCGTCACGTAAGTCGTACCTCGGTCTTTTCAATAAGTAGAAGGCACTTTATGCAACGTAAAATGCTGTATTAGGGCAGCATGAAATCATACTAGACGCATATTCTTTAATCAGTTCCCGCCGAATCAGTATGGGGAAGTTATGCGCAAAAATAGAGACCTTTCCAACGAATGCAAAACCGTGGAAATCGGTTTGTGCGTTCTGGAGTTATAGCGTCAGGAAGGAAAACCCGACTTATTTTTATATAGTAGATATGGAACTCAAGGTTTTAGCTCCGCCATGAGGCGGCGCTAAGGTTGCACGCCGAAAATACTTTACTAGCATGATGAGAATAGGGTAGATAGTATGATTCAGTGCCTAAAATGTAAAATTTGGATGCATGACAAATATGTTGGGGTATCCAAACGAGTAAAAATATTCCTTTGTACTATTTGCAAATAAATACATAATTATTAAACTAATATATATTCTCATTTTGATATTACTTTGGCATAGGTACGACTTAGGGCGTCGATGGTACGACTTAACAAACCGGTTACGTTTGAACGGAGGTGAAGACGCCGTTTACGCGTTACTCGCAAGTATTGTTTTGTGGATATGAGGGTAACCTCCATTACCCGTTGTCTCCCATTATCCTACTCTCCCCTATTACTCAATTTACAAAGGGTAGATGATGGACTAAAATCATTGTCTACTTTGATCTCCAGAATATTACTCTCAGATTGAAAGTCTACTTTCAACATTTTCAAAATATCTTGAACTCCAAGGTTCAAAATATGAGCAAAACAACAATGTTGATTATATGATCGAACAATTGATCATTTATTGCCATCAAAATATTCAATTCACTCATAAATGTAGTGTTTGCCGCTGCCTTACCAACGGTTATTCCTTGAATATCATTCTTTAACCCGTATTCTGTAATACATTAAAAAAAACTTCCGCTACGTCGACCACAAGAAGGAATAAAATCAACAGTTAAGATTGTACGAGCTGCCAATCGTTGCTGCCAATTATTATCGATGAAGTTAATAGTTATGCCGTAATATGATCTGAAGTTTATCGAAATCCAGCCATCAACAGTGAAGGAAAATTTAGAACCGTTTTTGTTCAAAATTTCCTTGACCTCACTCGTTCCATTCATCACCATTCTCCGGGCACAATAACGTCGAGGTACACTAATGTTGGGATTTAAAATATGAAAAAAAATTTTGAAAGTCGCCATCGAATAAATTCTAGTGCAATTTTTTCGTCACCGTCCACTCCACAACTATAGCTTCATAATTCTTTGGTAATACTTTATTCTAAAATATAATATTTCTTTAAGTTCATTCATTTGAAAACGAAAACGGAAATGAATTGCCGCAAATATAAAAAAAAAAATATCAACATTAATTAAGTTACTTGAGATTGAAATAAAATTAAATTACCTGTTCAGAAAACATATCTGTCAATTTTTTTTGACCTGATGGCACTGGTTTTTGAATCAAAGTTAAGTTTCCATAAATTTCTTTGTAGGCCTTTGAACGAGCCGATTGTAAATGCTTCTTCATACTGAAAGTGTTGTTATCTTTCCGGCTAATAATCTTTGTCACTTTAGATTCTTCACACACTAAACATATTACTTTTTTCTCACTATTAATTGTTTTAAATGTAAAAAAATTTGTAAATTTTGAATTTTTCATTTTAGGGGGTTGATCAACCTCAGTTATAGTTTCACTTAATTCATCTTCACGTTTGTTTGATTTTTCCTTCTTTTTGGGTTATCATCACTAAAAATCACACTCGCCAACATTTTAGTGTATTTGAAGTCAAAAAATTGTAGGTCTTCACAGTTCAAAAATTTTCGTCAAACTGATGTTGGGCGATTTTGATGCCATTTTTTAAAGTACAGTGGAATGCCGGTAATCCGGACACGGCTTGATTCGGCATACCTTGTAATCCGACATGGTCATATGCCATATGTTTGTACTTTAGAATTTGTAATTTGTCCGATTACAAGGTATTTTTTTTGTAAAAAATTACGGACTGTAAGGGGTCTTAGGCACTTTTCTACAATCCGACAAATGAGCACATCCAACACTGCCCTGCAAACTGATTGTCGGATTACCGGGATTCCACTGTATATCTTAAAAGAAGACGATCTTGAAAATGTGGGCACGATATAATCAAATCCGGCCGCTGGAGAATTTTTTGAATTTCTAAAAAGTCGTTTTGTCACTGATTTTCAATAATTTATATCTCGGTGCCTACTGTTCCTTACACTATAATCCCCGGAGGTCATCACGAATTAAATCCACGTGCTGCATATTGCATAATTTTGCAGCGCGGCGGAATATGGATGACATGGACGTCATGCTTGACGCATCTGACCCAGCTGAACATACAGCGATACAAGAATTTGTTGGAGAAAGGCAAAGAAATTAGGAATAGGTATATTATAGAAAACTTTGAATAAATTAAATATTAAATATAAATATAAATTAAAATTGTTTTATATATAGTTCATTTATTTCTTATAACGTCCGCCAGCTCTCGAATTGCCGCTGCAATTTCCGGAATGGCCTCTGTCTGCGTCTTGGTGTCGTCAGTTGAGTTTGTGCAGGTGGCTATCACCTCCTGGGTTGATTTGGCCATTACTGACGTCCTCCAGGTACTTTTTTGGGGGGTGCTGATGTGGCGCTGTGGGGTCGCTATTGTTGTCAAAGGATGTTGAAGCATGTATGCTAAAAGAGTTGGAGTTTTGGGCTCCTCCTCCACTTTTGCCACCGGATCTTCCAGAGGGACCCCCTCGTACAAAAGCAATTCCAGCAACTGCTGTTTTGCCCCAGGCCGCAATTCCCCGCTCCTCCTGGGCCGTCATTCTTATGGTAGTCGGTGGGCCACTACCCGGAGCCTTCCGGTGTACTTACATCTTTATTTTATCTTTATTTCGCGTGCAATATTTCCAATCACTGAAGCGTTTTTTCCACTCCTCACTCATGAGCACTGGACCATCGCCGCAGCAATTTAATTTCGTGCTGAGGTCCGCCCTGCATTGATTTATATAATTTGGCGGCGTTTTCTGTCAAATTCTAGCGTGCAGTAGGGTTGACTTTAGGTATAGCGCACAGAATACCACTTAAGGCCGAACCATAACTTCGCCGTAAAAAGCGTCTTGGAGCTTTCGTACGTACGTTCGTTACGTGGTGAACACATAATCGCACCATTAATTTCATTTGTAATAATAAACAGTCGATTAACTAAATAACATCAACACTCTTCAATAGACTCAAACATTTCTGACTACAAAAAGCAGCTCTTTCTCCTCATCCAGCTGCCAATTTACATATTTTATTTGCTTAGGATTTTTTCGATAGTGGCCTCTAGTGGCACTGGTTTCAGCGATTATGGCTGACTCATGGTTTTGTTTGGTTGTTTTGCGGCCCAATGCGCCAGCAAACGCGTGACGATTTCTTAGATTTTCCCCTAGGTTTGAATTATCGGTAGCGGCAGCATATGATCGGCCCTCTTGAATTTTGCTTTTTTCAAGCAGAGTCCGCTGTATTTTTCCCTTGGCCTCTCTAATATTTTTAGGGTGATGTGGGCATTCATAGCTCGATGCAACATGAATTCGCTGACAATTTACATATTTTGGATAACTAACGTGCCCCCAACGTTGACAACGAAAACATTGCCGGTGACCGAGACTTTCGTTTAGATTCAACCTTGACCTGCAGATAGTTGATGTGTCTTACATTATAGAAGTCCAGGCCATTCTCGTTTTTGGTGACGTTTACCGTGATTATTGGGAGTTCGCCTTTTGTTTTTGAATTAATTACACCATGTTTTTTAAATGTATATATGTTGGTAGCAATGGTAACACTTATTAGGGACAAGTACCCCTTGTGGGATGACGGATGCTGCTGCCCTGTACTCGCCCTCTTACTCGTTTAGCCGTCGTAGCGAAAGCATGTCAAGTTTGTATTGTATACGCATCAAAGTTTTTCAATATGTTATATCCTGTAACATCTTATTCGTTTTTATTTCATTTGTAACAATAAACAGTCAATTAACTAAATAACATCAAGAGGTTATGGGTGCAACACGCTTCCACTGCGATGGATTTTAAAACTCAGATCGAAAAGCTGAGGGGAACAAATAATTGGGCAATGTGGAAGCGTCAAGTTGTCTTGGTCCTGAAACACCACGAAGTACACGAACTGATTACCGGAACCAAAGTCATGCCAAAAGCACCTGC